TCCCACTGTGTAGCGGGCTGAGGGAATGTGCCCCTGGCTTAGCTGTTCTGCCTCTTCATCCTCTACCAAGCCAGGACACCTCATGGAACACAGGAAGGATGGCCACTGGACGTGGGGCAGGAGAACCCAAGCCTCGGTTTTCCCATCTGCAAAATGGGGGAGATACCTGCCGCGCACAGTTGCTGTGGGGATCAGCATAGTGCTTGGCACACCGGGGCAGAGTCTGAAGCTCCCTCGTGTTGGGCCTTTCTTGGGTTAGGGCCGGGAGGTCCTTGCCTGAGCACACGGGCCAGGAATACTCCCGCTCACTTCTTGGCAGGAGAACTTCAAAGAGATGGCCTCCCGCCAACAATAAGCAAACGTTTCAGGCCCTGAAGGAATCTCTCAGCACAGACAGAAAGGGGACAGGCGAGGAAGGAAGCAGCTGGCTCGGGAGCAAAGCAGCAGCCTGATGGACAGGGTCCGAGAGCTCCACAGGGACCGGCAGCCAATGGCTGGAGCAGGAAGGGGAGGGGCCGCAGGGAAGGGCCTGGTCCTGGCCCCCAGCGGCGTCCACGGGTCACCGGGCCATGTAGCCTCAGCTGGAACATGGTTCTAGAGAGCGGCATGGGGAAGGTCTCTGCCTACAGAGAAAGGAAAGGGGATGAAGGGCTTCTGTACGAATACGTGGGAGGGAAGGAGTGGCGGTCAGAATTACCACCACCTCACTGTCCAGTGCACCTGACTTAGAACTTTCTCTGTATTGCTAAGCCCTAGGCATGCAAACACAAGTCCCGCGTATCCTTGCCTTCCTGGGGAGGCACCTGCACATGTAGAGGCAGAAGTGTCTACCCAGAGAAGCAGTGGGCAGGGCGCCCGGGGTGTGGGGGCAGCAGGAACAAGGTGGGGTGCGTGCACGTGGAGGACGCCTTCCAAGACAACGAACCATCCAGTGAGACTGACGCCTCACAGGGAGGGAGTCAGGGGGCAGCAAAGGAGGCCGGGAAGGCAGAGGAGGGCCAGCTTGGGAAGGACTTTAAAGTCACGTTCCAGTGTGTGGATTTTATTGGAAGCCAGGGAGAAGTTTTAACTACGTTTTAGAAAAATCTGCTGGGGACGTGCATGGGGAGAGATGGAATCTGGAGACAGATACAGGGAGTACCCAGTTGGAGGAGTCCAACGGGGGAGGATGAAGGCTTGACAAGCAAATGAGATTAGAAATCAGAGAAAGGTTGGAGCAAGAGACTCCAGAATCATGGTTGGCGTGGGAGTCTGGGCCAAGGCACCTGCCCGCCCACTACAGTCTCATCTTTGTAGGGTCCCCAGCACACTCTGTGGTGGCCCTTCTCCTGCTGGGACAGGCAGGCAGGCAGTGGAAACAGTGCCCATGACATCTCGAGATGGAGGTTATGCTGTGTCATCTCGGGGAGGGTGGGCAATGGAATCCCAGGGCCACCGTCGATGGCCTGGAAACCTCAGGAGGTGGCCCATGAGCCCAGGCATGCAGGCGGCTTCCAGAAGCTGGCAAAGGCGAGGGGACGGATTCTCCCCCAGAGCCTCCAGCCAGGGCCGCAGCCCTACCGACACGTGGATCTTAGCCCAGTGAGACCCATGTCAGACTTCCAGTCCCGTGAGGCGATAACTGTGTGTTGTTTTCAGCCACTCAACGCCATTGCCATTGGCGGCCATTTGTGATGGCAGTGACAGGAAACACAAGCAGATCATAACGCTGGGCGTTTTAGAGAGAACTTCTCTAGCCACCTCACCCAGGATTGCCCTCTCATCGCACCCCCCAGCCACTGAGGTTTGCATTTGATTTCTTCCGGTGTCTTTTGTTATTTGAAACGCCTGTGTTGAACCGATTGCCCACCTTCCCCCATTAGACTGTCTCCAGGAGGGCGGGCACCTTGCCTGGCTGTCCATCACCACACCCCCAGCTCCAAAGCAAGTGCCTATGACACAGTGGCCGCTCCACAAACTCCTGGTGGATAGATGAGAGAGTGTGACGGTGCACCAGTGACATGACCAGAGATCTGCCAAGGCACAACATACAGCAGCTCTTTCCCACCACATAGCCTCTGAAGGCTCAACACAAATGTACATGCGCCTCCCCCCCACCCCCAACCCCCCACCCTCCCCCGGGATGCTCAGCTCAGGTCCCACCTCTTTGAATGCTCTTACTAATCAGCCTTCAATCTCAGTCCAGCTCTGCTCCAGCCCTCCTAGGAAAACATACGCAGAGAGTAAAATATTATGGATTCCCTCTGCCAAACAGATCGGAGGGGAGCATATGACGAGAGAGTCCGTGAACAGACACGGTTAAGTGTCCCCCTCCAGGTTAAAGGCTCGGGAAGAGCCCAAACTGGTTTTAGAAGAGGCCTTGCCTTCCCAGACTTTGTTCAGAGTTTTCCAAGCTCCGCAGACAGGCCGCCCCTCCAGGAAATGACTTGCCGATCCAGCTGAGGAGGGCAAACAAAACCCAGGGGACACTGGCTGAGGTCAGGCTGCTGCCTAATCCTGGAGTGGAAGCCGGCACAGAGAGGGTGAGGACAGGATGCATGAAGAGCTGGGGGCGGTGGCGCTTGCAGATTCAGTCCGGCCACACAGCATGGGGACAGGGAGGACGTGTACAAAATGACGTTTATTGAATCTATTTTGGAAACAGGCAACATGAAAGGTTTTTGGTTTGTGAGCTCACTCAGAGCTCCGAGTCGTGTTAGCTTCCTGTCATTAGAACTCAGCCACTGGAAGATTCTAGCTTCATCTTCTAAAGGGGCAAAAAAGTGGTTGCAAACACTGCAGCCATCACTCTTGCCGTAGCTCAGATGGCTAAAATGCCCATAAGCATCAACAAAATGGTGTGTGTAGTCTGAAATATTTACAGTACGAGATCAGGCAGGTACATCGAAGGTGAAGTTGTAAACTGGCTAACAGTCATCAGCAAGCAAGTACAGTGGGTCTGGACTGACACTCCCATTCTCATCCTAAGAGCTGACATGTTTAACCGATGACTGCTGTCCTCATCAGGGGCATTTAGTATACGGACAAGGCATTTAAAAGCATATAGATCTTGAACGTTGTAAACTAAAAAGCAAACCCAAGCCTGATTAATTACCTTGCCTGGATCAATAAATACTAGTCCCAAGTGCCAAGTGTACCAGTAAGGACACACACCATCAGTTAAATAAATCATCATGTTGTTACTTACTGACGTTCTATTTGCTAACGCACGTTAGTCAATTTGTGGACTTTATCCAACACATACACAGAGACAATTTTTTGTTTGAAATTCTCAGAAGACCTCCTTTGGACACTTCTCTTCCACCCTCTCTTAGAAGGATAAAAATGAGACAACTTCTTAAAGTTTCCAAATCAGAAGCCATCAAAAAAGCAGGACTCTGGTCACGTTCCAGGTCTTCACCCAGAAGGGATGTGCCATTGAGGCTTCGACGTGCTTAGGCCTCTTCCCCTGCTGGCAGCTTACACTGTCCTTGTCCTCTCCCAGCCTCCTCCTGCTGTATTGGAGGCCAAGCTGGCTCCTGTCTCTGAGATTTCATAAACAGTTTCCAAAGACCAACAGCACACCTAAAAGGTGCCAGAAGGGTCCAGAGGATCCTCCTCGCTTTTCTGGATGTGTTATCAGTGAGGCCAACAGGCAGATACAAAGAGAAGAACAGGGGTTCTAGGTGGATCAAAAGCCCAGACCTGGGGGAGCAGTGTTAAGGATTCAGCACAGTACCAAAGCCTGCTGCCCCAAAGAGCATTTTGAGAGCTCAGATGTTAGAAATTCCAGGCACTTCTGGCATTTCTTTAATCACAGGGAATGAACATCTCTCCAAAAGGTCCTGCCCACATTTCCCCCATCTCCCTCTATGGTGAAGCATTGAGACATTCCATTTGCTGCCACCCTCTGCTCACGGGGCAAAGTGAGGCTCCCAGCCTCAGTGCTGTCAACCGTGAAACTCACAAACACAGGCCGTTCTGGATTCAAGTCCAGTGGCTTCCGGCACTCAGCAGCTGATGAGCCCTGCCCACCACGGATCCCCTGCGCCCTGAACAACTTCCAGGCTCCTTTCCTAGGGGGGGCTATTTTCTAGTTTGAGGACACACCCCACTGGAAATGAGCAGTGCAAGATCCTACGTGCAAATATTTGCAAACACTTCCTTTTGAAACGATGCATATTTACAAAATTCAAGTCAAATCCAGGAACAGACTAATTGGTTGGTTATCAGCTGGCCCCTCACCCACAACAGGAAAATGGTCAGTGTCTGAAATGAAAGAGGAATGAAGGCACCAGCTACTCCACCCAGGAGGTTAGTTCCTTGAGCTTGGTGGGGAGGCCTGAGAGGGAAATGCTGAGGCTTTGTCAAAGAGGGGACTTCCCCAGCCCCGTAGCCCTCCTGGGCCAAAAGGCAAAGGTGGCAGGTAGGATCTGGATCCGGGTGAGAATGGCCCTCACCCGCGTGAGGGGGGCAACTCTTTCCAGTAATTGTGAAACTAAAATAAGGAAGGTACACTCCCAGAGTCGTGCTTGGTCGGGCTGCTGCCTCCTTCCACTCCCCACAGAATAGGCGGGAAGGACACCCCTCCACTACCTGTTCTCACCTGTGAGCCCCGCATCACAAGAACCTAACGGGGAACTCCAGAGGCCGACGCATCCTTGCTGGCTTTGTGTGTGGCTCAGCCGACCTCCTGCTATCATAACGCCAGAGGGGCCCTGGGCCACATCATTGGGAGCGTCGGACAGTCCACTATCTGGGGGAAAAGCCCAGAGAGGGGGGGTCTGGAGTCAGGCAAGCAGAAAGGGAACATTAGGCAGTTGGGTCTGTGTGGCTGCAAAGAGATGGTCACAGTCACAAAAACAGAGAGGTTCACACCCGGGATTTCCACGAGGGCACTTGGGCTAGGCCTGACACGGGCAGTGTCACCCGCAGGAAGAGCCCCTTGGTGAGCCCCTGGGGATGGGGCGGTCCTCGTGTTGGTGACCAGGCCGGAGCTGGGAAGTCCCAGAGGCGGGCATTCAGCCGAGGGAAGCACAGTTCAGCTCAGAGTCCCCCTGGCTGCCCCCTGTCACCTCCTCCAGCTCATCAGGGCTGTCGGTGATGTTGGGCTCACTGGAGCACTGTCGGTGGGGTGGGGAGAAGCTGGGCGGCAGGAGCAGGCACTTGTCCTCACCGCCAGGCTCCTCGCCTAAGCCTGAGTGCATCATGGTGGTCATGGCCAGCAGCTGGATGTCTGAGTGGGCGTTGGCCACCGTGTGCCTTCGGACGCTGCCACACTTCTCCAGGTAGGCCTCCCCCTCTTGCTCCGTCAGAGGGGTCAGAGCCGTCTCATTCGGCGGCCGGCTGACGGTGGTCGTTGGGGAGGCGTAGTTCAGGACAGCCACCTTAGGCCGGACCCTGGAGTGGCGTCTCGCTGCAAGACAAAAACCAGCAAAGGCGGTAACTGCCAGGGACACAGGGCCAACCGCGCCTACTCATCAATTTGGGGGAAGAGGGAGGTGGTGGCTCCACCTTCAGGAACAGTTCAGGCACAGTTCGGCTGGATGCAAGGGAGGAACCGGAAAGGTCTGCCTGCTTCCCTCGCAGCCTTACCTGCGTGCGCCCGACACTGCCCCGCTGACATTCCCACCGTAGTAGGGGTCGCCAAAGGGCTTTCCGGGATAGACTAGCTTCAAGGGGATCTCCCCTCCTTCTCAGCTGCTGCCTGAACTTCACTGCATTTGCCCTAAATCTCCTTTCAACCGGTCTCCTCCAAAGGCCTGGGCACAGGCTGGACCAGCTTCTACAAGAAAACGCCCAGCTCTGTGGAGCAGGAAGTGGCCTCCCCAGTGTCAGCAGATGAAGTGGAAAAGGCCCCAGGAGCTTAAGGTCCAGCTTACCCAAGGGGGCCTTGGCTATTAAAGCTAGGGAATGGGACGTCCTCCAAATCATCTTGACCAGGGCTACAGCACTCCCCTCCCACCAGGCCACTGGCCCGAGACCTATGTGCTGTTCACGTCCTACTCGCTTCCAACAGCCTCTGGCACCATCAAAGAACGGGCTGGGCTCCACGGATGGCCCCGTGGAGCCAGACACACAGAGGAGGGCTGGACATGAATCATCACCAAACCACTGCTGCTTGAGCTCTCCCCACATTCTAGAAACTACGCTAGGCCTTGACATGCACTCATCTTTTGACTCCTAAAAACTGAGCTTAAGTCATGATAGGTTTATTGGCTCCCACTTTACAGATGAGAAAACGGGAGTATCAGAGAGGTGATGACTTACTGACGTGCGCATCGCTAGAACGCAGTACAGCGGGGAGTTAAGGGTGGCCTCCCTGCAGACCCTGCTCTTCCCGGACACCCACACGACATGCACGTAACTACAATAGGCTGAGTACCACCAGGGAAGGAAGGACAAGCCAAGTGCATGGGCTTCAGAGGCAGGGACAAGTGTATCCATGTGTCAGGGCGGATGTAGCCCGGAGCCGGTCTTCAGAGTAGCAGAGCTCCCAGAAGGGAGGAGTGACAGCATCCTGAGCAGTGGGAACAGCCGGAGCAAGGTGCCGAGACAGGTGCGCCACCGGGCCCCAGCCTGGCCGAACACTGTATGCATGAAACAGTGGGGACGTGCACAAGCAGGCGGATGGCCCTTGGTCCTGCAGGAGGGCCCCTGAAAGCCAGATGGAATCATCGGTGATCAGACAAGCCCGGGGATATGGCGCAGGATGGGGGATGTGCTCCAGGAAGATGCACCCCGCAGGAATTATGCAGGGCTGGAGCCCGAGGGCCCAGAAGTGAGGAAAGCCAGGATCACGACAAACCTACATCCCTCCGTGTCAGGGAGGTCTCCTCCCCACGCTCCTGGAGAGGCAGCCCATCTCTTCTCTCACGTGGGCCCTTCATCTGTATGACGAGTGGGATGAAGGACCCCAGCGAGAGACAGGACTGAGAATGGAGGGCTGAGGACCAAGTGGGTTCTGTTCAGCCTCTCTCTTTCTACCGGGGCATACTTCTCCCGTCTTTCCAGCCACTCACCCCATTTTCCCATCACGACTTTCCACAGCTCCCATGTCCTTGAGACCCCGAAGGCCCCCCCAAAAGCACCCTCTCTCAGCAGGGGGATGCAGCAGGCCGCAATGGAGAAGTGTGACAGGGCTGCTATTCCTGAACACTGGCAGGATCAGAGGGGAAGACTTAGTCCCTAAAGAGAAAGCAAACAGTGCTGCTCAGAGACTGTCCTTGGGGACACACGGCCCACTCTGCTTTAGTTTACTCTTGGCTCTTCCTGTGGGTCTGGAGGGCCCAGACGCACACTGTCGTCACTTCCGGAGCTCATGCTCCTAGACGGGCATCACAGTGAGATGGGCCATGTCCCCTGCAAAGCTCTCCGCGACCCCTGTCACTGGACGGTTCTGCATGTCCTTATATACACATATATGCACAGGCAGCGACAAGAGAATGAAATCTTAAGCCCTAGGTTGGAGTCACCAAGTCTGCTGGCTCTGAGCCCAACAGGAAATCTTTGGCAGGTAACTAATTATTTCTCAAGACCCAAGTAATATGTAGAATATTACTGTGTTCCCATCCACTTTCTCACTGCTGAGTCCCAATCTCCCTTTGAAACACCAAGGCTACTCTCATTATTCCCATTGTTCAGATGAGGAAGACTGAGGCTCAGCCCAACTCTCACAGGCTCTCAACAGCCATGCCCAGACTTCCCCCACTGCGTGCTATTGTGTCTCAGGGTTCCACTGCTGCCTGACCCCCCCCACACCCCCACCCTCTGATGCCAGGTAATAGCAAACACTGTCCCCTGAGGTGCCAAATAAGAGGCTGCTACTGGCTGGGAGAGGCTAGTTCAGCGGCCTTTCTCTTTGGGGAAGAATGAAAAGGAGAGATGAGGTGGCAAAGAGCGACCAAGAAGCAAGGATCCCATTAAAGAACCATCCTTAAAAAAATGCCCTCGAAAACCATCCATTCGTCCCCTGCTATTAGAAACAAGCACCTACGACCGGCAGTTGCAAAGATCTGTGTTGTAGCCCAAACCTTCAACCAGCTGGGCAGGAGACCGGGCTAGACTGTTCGGTGAGCATTTACTACACGCAGATCCAGGAAGGGGAAAGAGCTAGAGCAAAGGCTGGGCTGGGCCCAGGACACAGGGTAAGTTGAGGGCATGGGGGATAGATGGGGGACACACACAGCATCTCTGGAGGAAATGAGGATTGTTTGATCGTTTCCAGGGGCCCTACTCCAGTAGAATGAGCCAGGAAGGGTGTTTCAGATGGGTGCCTGGATGTTCTCTGTCTCTCTCCCACATTGTTAGCCAAGAAGCCCAAAGTCCTGGGGGCGGGGAGGGGGGGGGCGGTTAACAGGCAGAAGAGACAAGAGAGGCCACTTTAGCTGCTGCTGCAAGCTGGAGCCACAGTGAGGGTGGCCAACATGGAGGAGGGGGTCTCCATGACATCTGCCCTCTCCTGCCCCAAACGCTCTGAACTGCAACATGCAAAACGCTGTGGTCGCTGCTGGGAGGGAGAAATGTGAATCTGACATGGGGCCCGCCTCAGGGGCCCAAGCCCAGTGCACGTGTGTGTGTGTGTGTGTGTGTGTGCACATGTGCATGTATGTGGTGGGGGGTTGGGTCAATGAGCATCTAGTACGTGCCGCATACTGTATCAAAAAAGGAGGTGCCTCACCGGCATGGTCATCTTCTGACCATTTTGTAGAAAAGGAACCTGAAGTGAAGATGTGAAATAACTTTCCAGCCAGTCAGCGGTGTAATCCGGATTCAAGCCCAGGCCTCAAGGCAGAGCTCCTGCATGCCCACTGGGAAGCCTACACACAAGTACCTGTTAAAACCAGATCAACAAGTGGGGGCACCTAGGTGGCTCAGTCGGTTAAACGTCCGAGTTCAGCTCAGGTCATGATCTCACGGTCCGTGAGTTCGAGCCCCGTGTCGGGCTCTGTGCTGTCAGTCCAGAGCCTGGAGCCTGCTTCGGATTCTGTGTCTCCCTCTCTCTCTGCCCCTCCCCCACTCACACTCTGTCTCTATCAAAAAATGAATAAACGTTAAAAAAAAAATAAAACAAACAAACAAAAAAACCCAGGTCAACAAGTATGGAATTGTTGAATCACTGTATCGTACACTTAAAACTAATATAACACTGCATGCTAACTCTACTGGAATAAAAAAAAAACGAACAAGGTCAACGAATGACAGGGCAGAGGTACAGGCAGGAGCTCTCAGAGGAGTCAGAGGAGGAGAAGTCTTGAAGAGGAGTCATTTCGGACGGGCCTGCTCCAGAGTGACTGACGGATGGAACCCAGACATTCACTCACACACTCACTCAGAGCAGACACCTACGCCAGGGCCTGGGGTACAAGAGGAACCACACGTTCCCTGCCCTCGACAAACTAACAGTCTAAGGGGGAGACTGACAAATCATCAGGCATGACTATGCAGCATGGCAAGGGTCGGGATGCGGTCCGGGGAGAGGCACATACAATTTCTCATCTGGAGGCATTCCAAGGGGGCCAGGCTGCCTCTAGCTGGGGACCATATCCTAGCAGGTAGCAGCTCTGCCTGGGCCCTGACCTGAGACAGGCTGGCATCTTCCTTCTCTGTGTTCGGCTCTCTGCAGCTCAGAGACATCAAGTAACTGACTCTAGGCCACACAGCCAAAGCGCAGCCCTTGTGGTTTCTGAGGCCCCGCTCCTTCTGGCCTTGCCTCTCTCCTTATGGCTGTTCCCTGCTGATGACTCACGGGAGAGGCCTAGGACTCTTCCTTCTGCCTGCTGGGTGGAGTGCTTTGGTTCCCAAGACTGGGTGTGGGCAGAGTGGAGACCACAGGGGCCGCTGGGCTGTGCCGAGTCCCCCGGGGCAGACAGCGTTTCCTCGATAAGCTCCCACCAGACTCCAGAGTCAACCTCAGACCAGCACGTCAGCTGCGGCCCCAGTGGGGTCAGACCACAGGCCAGGCTGGAGCTGAGACAGCTACCCACACTGCTGTTGCCTATCATCTTCCCGGCCTTCTCATTTGTACCAGGGAAAGTCAGGCCCTGGCACTCAGAGAAGAAAATCTCCCTTTAAGAGGCTGATTAAGCTGTGGTCACCCCTCGGGGGCTGAAATGGGTCCTTCCCTTGCAACGGTACCCTTTGAGCTGGGAGAGGAGCCGTGTCCTGCCACCTGGGCAGGCACCCACCTCCAGACCTCCTCCTCCTCCTCCTCCTCCTCCTCCTCCTCCTCCTGCCTTTCACACGGGGTGGGGCAAGGGGAGCCTTTCTGCCTTCATCACTCCCCAGGCGCCCCACTGAGCTCTGGCATTCATCCCCCTACACCGGAGCCAGCAATGGCAGTTCCTTTCAAACCCCAGAGAAGCAAAGCCTGGATGAGGCGGTCCTCGGGCCCTTTGTGGGGGACTCCGTTCCCAGGCCTTTGATCTCCCAGGCTCGAAGGAGTGGCCGCCATAATGCGGGTATTGTGCCCTCTGCACGCCAAGCCCATTGTGGACGTCCCTCTCCAGGCCCAGGCACCTGAAAGCCCATGAATGCCTACTTGTCACGAGGAGAAGTTACAGGGTCTTGAGGAAAAGGGCCCTCCCCTGGAGACACAATGGAGGAAGATCTGTGGGAGGCCAGGGCTTTTGTGTGAGAAAAACACAGCACTGCTGAGGGTTCTGAGTGTTTGCTGGGGGTCCCGGGAGGCAGCCAGGGCAGCAGCTTGGAGACTTCGGGAACTAGAAAGGTAGGACAAAACAGTTTTGTTTTTGTTTTTGTTTAAAGATTTTACTCCTCACCTCCACCTCCCCACAGCTCTGGAAAAGGGACTGCTTTGGAGGAGAGCCACATTGCGCACACAGTTGCTCCCACGAGCCTCAGAGTCCTCTCCCTCTCTCTGCCAAGCCTCGTATATCAGGGGGTGAGGCTCGCTCCTCACACCCATCGGCCTGGCTGACAGGAAGAGAGCTTTCCCCAGAATCCCCGCGGGATCAAACGTGCCTGGACAGGCGCGTGCAATGAGGGGCGCCCCCTGGAGAAACCGCTTCTCTGTCTCTGGTCATCTACTCCACGCAGCCCTGGGGAGGTCTCTTCCGGAGTCTGAGACTGAGACAACCACAGCACTCCCCCACCCCTCAGCGGGCTGTGCAAAGAGGACAAGTGCCTGGTCAGCACCTGAAACATGACAGGCATTTTGATAAGTGGTGGCTTTTGAGATGAGCGCTCCAGCTGCCCTCGACCGCTCCTCACCCCTGGATGCCCCCCCTCCCCTTCCCCTTCCCCGCCCCACCTTTGCTCCCCTCACCACCACCCCCGCCCCCGCCCCAGCGGACCACGGCAAAGCCCTCCTGTGCCTTCACACTTCAGTTGGTGGTCTGCACGCTCCTCTCCTTCAGGCAGG